AAAAAAGGAAAAAAAAAAAAAAAAAGAAAAAAGGAAAAAAAAAAAATTCATTTTCTATAATAATTCTGTGTTAGGCCAGAACTTGGTTATGTCACAGTATTAGCACTGCCTCAGTTAAAGGTTTAATTTTTGTTTAAACCTAGAAGTGCAACAACAGTTTTACCACAGTCTGCACTCACAGAACTAAAAAAAAAAAAAAAAAAAAAGAAAAAAAAGAAAAAAAGAGAAATAAAATCCAAACTACATATGTTTATTTTTTGTGCCTACCTCATTGTTTTTAATGCATAAAATAAAAGAGGTGGTTTAGTTTATACGTTTTTAGATGAAAACCATTAATGTCTAATTTAATCTTAATACCAAAACTACCAGATTGGAAGGTTTCTGACTGTTATTGCGTAGCAAGTTTCCGCAGGAGGAGAGAGTGGTCCCTTGGGGCAATAGTGGTAGCGGTATGGCAGTGAGACACTGATTAATGTAATTTGCTTACAAAATTTGGTAAAGCGAGCATTTTTGTAAACCAGTTTCATCCTTAATAGAAGACTGAATTTAGCCTAAAACCAGAGGTTTCACTCTTCTAACACATGGGCTTAGTAACAGGCAGGTAAAAATAACTAGGCTAGTTCTATAAACTGTTAAATGTTGTAGGAACCATTTTGGGGTGGTGATGTTTTTCTTTTTTAAGAATGCAATGCACTAAAACTCTTTTAAGAATGTAGTTAATACTGCTTATTCATAAAAACAGCGTATACCTGTGTTTAGATGTAAGATCCCGGCTATGGCTTTTTTTTTCATTCTTTTTGGTTTTTTGTTTGATTTTTTTTTTTTTAAGTCAGTTTTATTTTATGAATAAGTTCTGACATTTGTAATAAATGTCTTGAGAGTAATAATTTGTTTAATGGCTACATGTTCATTACTTGAGAAACCTTGAGTGTATAATAATCTGTTGGTGTTGTAATAATGCACAGTGTCATGATTCAGCCATTTTCCTTTTTTTTCACTTTTTTTTTTTTTTTTTTTTTTTTAATTCCTTTGGTGGGGTACTTTGTTGACAGCTGCCTTAAGCTGTTCATTCAGTGAACAGGCTCTCAGTGTTTCATGGGCTTTGTCTTCTGCTGCGGTTAACTTTCCTTCATGGCATGACAGGTAGGGCTTCTTAAACACGTATTCTTCAACTCAGTCAAGCCGATGGCGGCTCAAGCGACCGGTCACACAATCAATTAAGAGCCGAGAGCACCGAGCGTGCAAAGCTCAGACTCGACAGACCCTTCTTGTGGTGTCAAATCTGACTGCTGTAGATCCTCCAACTCTTCTGCTGCGGTTAACTTTCCTTCATGGCATGACAGGTAGGGCTTCTTAAACACGTATTCTTCAACTCAGTCAAGCCGATGGCGGCTCAAGCGACCGGTCACACAATCAATTAAGAGCCGAGAGCACCGAGCGTGCAAAGCTCAGACTCGACAGACCCTTCTTGTGGTGTCAAATCTGACTGCTGTAGATCCTCCAACCCCAATCAGCGTTGCTGCTGAAGACTATCCTTCGAACATCGTAGACAGTTGAAAAGCGAGCGGTAAATGCGTACCGCCGGCGCACGCGCGTGCACACACACC